AGGCACAGGAAGGGGACAGGGCAGCCCAAAGTCAGGCCCTATTTCTCTGGCTAGTACAGATGGACTGGCTCAGTTCCTCACGTGCCACAAGCTGAGGTCTAGCAGCCACAATCATGGAGGTGTCATCTTTGTGAGGCCACTCCCGATGGCAGAGGTCTCATTATTTTCCCGCTGTCTCTCAGAAACAGAAGAACAACAAACTCCCAGGCAGTCCTTCCAGGGAGATGAAACCTTTGAAGTCATCTGCAACACAGGCAGTAGATACCCTTGCACTGAATAAGCAACTGATTTTGCCCTGCTAGTGAACACAGCAGGTTGGGAAAAGAGAGAACCTTGTCTCATTAGTTTTCAAGTTCATATCACAACTTTCTGTGGACGTTTGAAAGGCCTATGAATTAAAATCCTTGCACAAAACCACACTTTATGGTGTCATGAAAATCCATTCTTCTTCTAAGGAAGAGTCTCTTTAACACCCAGGGAGCAAAAAGGAGCAGAGCCACTCAAAATGGATGGTGGTGGTGGTGGATATCCACCAGGAGAGGGACTGGGACACTGGATCAGGCTGGGTGTCCATCAGGTCCAGTACTCCTTGCCACAGGAGTCATAGGGGGCTGTGCACATGGATGGCCACATGTACCCAGAGGTGACAGATTTGTGAACCAAGTGCCCAAGAGACACAACCCCTCCAGGTGTGACACCCTGAGCAGCTCACAGCACCATTCTGCACCCCACCTAACTCTCTGTGTTTACGCATGCCAGAGATACTGTGGCTACACCCACACATCAGAAATGTCACATCGAGACGAGCAGAGTCTCATGGTGGAAGAACCACATTTGAGGAATGATAAAGCAGATCCAAAAGTTTCTTTCCCCCTGCTCTGTGGGAGAAAATTAAGCTTGCTGGAGGTGCGAAGCCCCTGTAGGTAAGGGATAAAGGAGAAGTTCAGACATCTGAGACTGACTCAATAAAAAACAATGAATCAAAATTCCCAGTGGTGGTGTGAGGTGAGAACGGTTCTGCTCAGGCAGTGGGAGCAGAGAGGCAGCTCGGAGCCCTGGGGGCCCTATTAACTTCATGGACCTTCACAGCAGGAAGGGTTGTTTCTTCTCCAGGGCCAGGCAGGGAGCATGGCCTTCAACCAGTATTTCCTTTCCAGTGGACTCTGAAGAACTCACCTACAGGGTGCCTGATGAACTTGAGGCGGCTTTGGCTGTCTGCCTGGCACAGACCCCTTTGGAGACCCCACTGAAGGCAAGGCACACCGCTGTACCTCCCTACTGTTTCCACTGGCAGCTCAAGTGGAAGGAGGCAATGGAGGTGGCAAACTTTGGGGTGCAGGAAAGGCAAGCCAATTCAGCTCAGACACAGGCTCCAGCAGTGACACGATTTCCAGATGAAAGATGTTACAGTGGTGTAGGCAGAAGGCAGGACAGGAGAAAACTACCTGCCAGCAACACAGGGTGAGCTGGAAAGAGGACAAAGGCAAGGGCACTTCTTTGGGCACTACCTCCTCCTCATGTTGTGTTTCTCCTACTTACAGGGGCCTAGAGCACAAAGCCTAGAGACAGAATCAAATTTCCTGAACGTATGAGTTTGATTTTTTTTTTTCTTTTGCTCTGTTTCTGCAGCCATAGGATTGGGAGTCAGGGCCAGGCTTGCTGCATGTTCACATCTCTAAGGCCAGGGAGCTGTGTCCCTCAGACAGGACCTCTGCCCAATCTCACACATTCCAGCAGCCAAGGGACCCACTGTTGGCCCTGGGATTAGGGCACAACCTGCAGAGGTGGACCATGGGCTGCCCTTTCTCCTGATCTGTCCTGCTTTCACCTCCAGGTCACAAAGTCCCCAGGCAGTGACACGAACATTGCTCCTGTCTCCCAGCCCTGCCAGCCCAGCGAGCTCGGCTCTGGCCACACCGTGGCAGCATTCATTCATATTTTATACAATGCTAGAGGCTCCGCTGGGACCAGCAAAATGTGAGACCTGGATCTCAAATTCTCCCAGTGCCTGGAGGCATTTTGCTCCTGGATTTTGGGCTGGAGCTGCTTCAAGCACTCAGGGAGGCAGAGCTGCAGAAGATGGTCACAGCATGTGGAGATATGGCCAGGCAAGCAGCAGGAAAGGGCAGAGGTCCTGGCTGAGGGTGAGGATCACTGCACAGCCCGGATCAGAGGAGCCAGCATGGCTCGTTCCATGGGCTGGGAGAGCAGAAAACATCCTGTAGCTTCTTTTGTTCTTACTTTGGCTTAGGGCAGCTAATCTTAGCCCTCTGAAAGCAAGGTCACCATTGCAGCTCCTGGACAAACCTTCTGCCATCGCCAGTTTTGGTGCTTTGCCCCATACAAGCATCAGTGCACAGTTCAGCAGAGCAGGGGCAGGACGCATCAAAATGTCAACCCTGTAACCCTGCATCCAACAAGAGCTGCAGCCATGTCCTGCTGTCCTTGTCCCGGCAATGAGGGAGGACAAACCTCCTTCAAGGTGTGGAAGAGAGAAGGAGAAAGGACACACAAGGTCACATATGCTTTGCCTTGCACTCAGCTTTTCTCTGTTAAAGGGAGTGATACCTTTCTGCAATTGTGTTGACAGATTGCTTTTGGGGCCAGGTTTTTGCAGCAGCGCTGAGGTGTGAGCATGTCAGAGCCCAGAGTTATGCAGCACCTTTGCAGCCGATCACACCTCCTTTGTAACATGAGATGTCCCAGCAGAGACAGATCATGCCACTGACAGGTGGCACAGAGCCTACAGAGGGGACTGGCTCACCACCAAGATGCCACATGTATTTCTTTTGGCAGGCAGGTCCCTCCATGCTGGCACTTTCTGCTCCCAAAGGTATGGAAGTGGCTGGGGTCTGCTGTCCCAGAACTGCTCATGAAACTGCACTAAGGTGGAGTTGATGCTCTCTGGGACTTCGAGAGTCCTCTATTGGCACATCCTCGCCAAGAACCTGGAGCCTTCATAACCGTCCAAGTGCCTTCCAAATAGGTTTTGTTACCAGGAGGTGCCTCTTGCAGCTGGGCTTGGAGCTGCTTCTCTCCCATCCTCGTGGCTTTCCAGGCTCACCTGGGAGTGGGTTCACACATTCACAGCATGCAAAGCTCTGGAATGCAGCCGGTCCCCCAGTCTCTCCCACTAGCATCATGGCTACAGATGACTTATTTCCTTTTGGAGCACAGCCTGGCCAAGCAGCAGTCATTGCTATGAGCTTTTTCTTAACATGCCTGTGTGTTCAGTGCATGCTCCTCTGTGGGAGGACTTTCATGCCAGCAAAAGTGGGGATTGAGCAAAAGGAGAGTCTCATGGGGAACAGGGAGCAGAGAAAGAGGAAAACATAGTGCAGAACCCATTTAGGAGAAATCATGACACATAACTCAGAGACATGCCACCCTTCAGATCAAGACAGACACATTTGTATCCAGGCTGCTTGGGGATGAACAAAATTCATAGGCACAAGGGCACTGCACATCATCTGCCCCCAGCCTCAGGCATATGCCCAGGTCTGTACAAGTCCAAAGGAAAGCCATGAAAATGCAAGGATTCAGCCAAGCCCCAAGCTGGGGAAGGGAGAAGCCTGGAGGGAACAACCCCCAGCTCTGGTCAGGCAACAAGACCTAGCCATTGCCCAGCCCCTGCCACCTCTGCTCTCCCCCAAAACACTAAAAACATGAATAATCACAAAGGTGGTGATTTCATGCAGCTGCAAAATGCCCTCATGAGAAGGAGGAGAAATGTGAAGTTCTGTAAAGAGCCACTGCAGGTTATAAAGCCATCGTACTTCAGTGGGGAAATCCAGGGAAGGGAAAGGGAGTGAAAAGAAATGGCCACAGGACAAGAGCAATAGAAAGAGGAAGAAAAGGAAATAAAAATCATCATCATCAGGACACAACAACAGGACGACAGACAGCGCTTTCCATTGGCAGTTCCCCGTGGAAAAGGAGCCGCCTTGTCCATGAAATACAAAACCCAGTGCCCTCCGGCTGGAAGGGGCAGCAGGTGCTGGGACTGGTTTGGCATCCCCTTGGGGTGAAGGGTCCAGTTAGGAGCAGAAAACCCTGCAAGGGAAAGGGCAGAAAGGCTGGCCTTAGAGGGAGCAGTGAGGAGCACTGGAGCAGCCTGGCTCAGACTTCCCAATGGACCATGTCATAGGAATTTACAGAGCCCTTTGCAGCTGGATGAGGTGGGCAGGAAGGTAACCCTTATCCCTACCTACAGGTGGGAAACGGAGACACTCTGTATACAGTGCAGACCCCAGAGTATGTGATAAAATTTCTACCAAACCTCAAGGATGTTGGGAAACCCCCTTCAGGTCAGCCAGGCTCTACATGGCACAGAGAAGAGATCACACCCCAGGTTGCTGGGGGCCAGCACAAGAAACAAGATCCACACAGCTGACCATCCTTTATCCTAAATAATCCTTCTGCTCAGCCAGGGAAAATCCCACCACGACAGAGCTGAGCAAATGGCAGAACATGGCAGAGTAGAAACAAACACAGTGAATGTCAAGATTTTTTACTTCTGGTTGTTTTTACAACAGCAGAAAGCAAAATCTCTCCATCTTTCCTAAATGGGATTGCAGCAGCCTGGAGACCTCTCACACCTGCTGCCTGCACACCTTGAGCGAGCTAGGCACCCCCACATGGAGCTGGGGAGATACCCCCTTGCCACGGGTCCTGCAAACCTTCCAGCCCAGAGGCAGGCAGCAGGCAGGGCTGTTTTCCTTTGCAACCCCCATTGGATGGGATTGTCAGGTCTGAGCACATCAGTGAGGTGGATGCAATAACCCAGGAAGCCAGGGGGATTTGTCCTAGCAAGGCAATAGCTATTGCAGAGACACTGCCAGGCAGCTCTGCTTCCACTGCAAAAATCCAAAGCCTTTGCTCAGCCTCTGCTATAAGGGCCACATGTGCACAGGAATGAAAGCTTCCTTTGCCATCCCTTCTGCATCCCACAGCCCATGCACTCGGCAGACAACTGCAGGGGTTAAAATAAACATGTCAACTCACTCATCCGTATCTTTCTTGCTCTCCTCAATGAATGCAATAGACTCGGATCTAAGGCGGTTAGTCACTTCATACGTACGCAGGGTGACTCCAAAAATATCCTCATGGTACCGGCTGTCATCCTGAAAGAGAGGATGGGAGAGGGGCAGAGGGAAAAAAGGAGTGTTTGCAAACCGTTGGGGTTGCTGCTGTGTCAGTACCAAATACATAGCAAAGGTTCTGGGTTCTGTCACAAGAGCAGGTGGGACAGGAGCAAGCAGGGAGGTGAAATGACCTTCTCAAGGTCACGCTGTAGGGCAGCAGCAGAGCTGCACTGTGCATTAGACCTCCTCAGCTGCTGGCAACCCAGGGACTGCCTGGATGTCAGGGCCCCAAGTAGCCCAACGCCAGCCCATGTACAACCAACTGAAAACATGGCTCTGGGCTCCCTCAGCACCTCGATAGAGATGGGGATGTGGTTCAGAAGGTAGTCCCATAGGAATGGGGATGAGTTATCCTCCCAGGGAGATGCAGAGCCATTTAAGCATCTGTCCTTGGGTCTGTGTTCCAAACTGACCTCATTTATACTTCAGCTGCAACATCTGCAAGAATGTGCTTACCCAGGGGCATCTTCCAGCCTGCCATGCAGACAGGGGAGATTTGGGGTGGGGGACCTACAAACTGTCCTGTTAGATTGCCACAGCAATGGAGGGACTTAGCAAGGTGAACAAACCCTGCCTGGGCTACCAAAGGTGCCCAAAAGAGCTTGTACCTGTGCCCAGCACAGCAGTGGCTCATCACAGTAGCCCTGTGTGGGCTCACAGGGCTTCAGCCTGGAGCAGGGCTCCTGAACAGTAAGGTGACTCCACTGCACACCCAAAGCATTGGAAGATCACCCTCCCGACCTTGCCTGGGTGCAACCCCAGCCACAGCACTCATCACCTCGGTGCTGCCCGTTCCACAGGAGAAGGCACCAGGTGCAGTGCCCGTGGCAGGAGGCTGTGCGGCATCTCACAGTGCAGACACTACTCACCCGCAGTTTGCTGATGAAGGCACCTGCCTCCTCCACCGACAGCTGGCCCTGCTGCCTCACAATGCGCTGGATGGTCTTGAGGACGTCCCCAGCCATGGTGACATCTCCACAGACATAGATGTGGCCTCCCTGCTCCTTCAGTGCTTTGAACACGGTTTGGGCCAGCTGCTCCTGTAACACGTCCTGCACGTATTTCTGGACAAGGAGGAGGTGGGAGCTGAGATTAACTCCAGCTTCTCAGCCCTATCCACCTGTGTGCTCTGTCCAGCTCTGTGTGCACTAGCTGCCCTCGAGACAGCCAGTGCAAGGTGACCACCTCATTGGGGGAACATGCCTGCACCTCACAGCACCCACAATATGATAGAAGAGAGATGAGGAAAGCAGCAAAGCCTTGTTCTGCTCTTGCATGTTCACACCATATCTTTAATTGTCAGGCCTGATCAGGTGGTGGTAGGAATTTGGACCAGGTATTTGCACTGGCTCTGAGCCACCCCACCAGGTGGCATCCCTCCTTGCCCACCTGCTTCAGAGGAGATGCCTTTCCCCTCCTCATCTGGTCCCACCTGGTGAGGATGGCTGCAGCACCTCAGGGCAAAGCATGAGCAATGTGGCCATACATTCAGGCTGGCACCAGGATGGGGATGCACCCTGGGAGTGGTGATGCACTGAGAAGGGACAATCCTGCACACTCATGCAGTCAGAGCGTCCAAGTGCATGAGCCACCGTGGCTGTGCCAAGGAACCAGCATCTCCATGCCATTCTGGCTGGCTGTGGCCACCCAGAGTTGCCCAGCAGCACTGGAGCAGCGCCTGCCACGCACCTTTGGTTTGTCCGGCTCCCGGGAGTAGGCTGTGTACAGCTCTCTGAAGACACCTTGGGTTTTGGCAAAGAGTGTCTCCTCTTTGTAAATGTGGTCAATCCTGGACTGCCGGCAGCCAAACACCAGGACCATAGGACAAGGCTTCAGACCTGGGGGAGAGATGGGAGAAGCAGATAGCTCCGGCACCATCGATAAAACTCCCTCCAGCTCTGCCAGCAGATCTGCTGGGACATCCCGGGCAAGAGACTGAACCCCATCCCTCTGCCACCAGCCCAGGGTTCCTGAGCACTGCTTGAGATGAGGAACAGGAGGAACACGCATCAACCCACCTTTGTGCTGGATGTCAAAAAGCCGCTGCTGCCAGAAGCTCCGGAAAGGGGCGATGCCTGTGCCAGGGCCAATGAGGATGCAGGGCACCTGGGGATCCTGCGGCAGGTGGAACCCAGGCGCGCTGCACACATCAGAAACACCAGTTTAAACCCAAGCAGGATGCTCCCTCCCTTGCTTCTGCCCACAGCAAGCTGAGACACCACCCAAACAGGAAAGGGCAGAACACGAGGAGAAATTCCAGAAAGCAACATTCTTGTGGAGAACTGCACCCAGGGGAACCCATTTGCTCACAAATCCAGTCCTGTTCTCTCTGCACCCTTAGTGCTTTGCAAAGAAGAATTGAAGGCACAGAGCTCATACTGAAAGCGTTTCCCCCCATCTTTCTCACCCCTTGCCTTGTGTGGACCACTTACCCTCTTACAAAACAGGGCACTACTTCATCAGTCTGTATCCGACTGAGCCAAGAGGAGCAGACTCCATGGTGGATTGGTCCTTCTCCATCTGGGAGAGGAGGGAAGGAGGTCTGTGCTTGACACAACAGCCAATGACTCCAGTTGTTTTATTTCCTAGAACCCTCCCTGCTACATCCTACATGAACACCTCACTGAAATATTCAGTATCTCTGCATCCGTTTTCCATTTACTTGGTAAGACTTTGGCACTCCCTCTCTGAAGCTACCCAAGTTCACCCAGGATCCAGACCTGGGATAGTTGGACATCCACAATACTTAGGAAGCCCAACCCTTTTTTTGGTCTTTTTTTTTGGCAGAAGCAGCATCGTGCTGTGGAGCACCAGCCCTCCATGGCAGCCTCACATGTATGGCCACTGTCTTCTTCTGTGTCCGGCCTGCTGCAGGGGTGCTGTATCGGTCTACACCATGACCAGGGCTGCTTGGACACATTAGTGCTTCCACACACAGGAATTTGGCCAGTGGCAATGTGGAGTTTGGGGTGAGCAAACATGGAGCTTGGATTATGTACCTTATCCAGATGTGATATCTCTGGAATACACTGCTCTTTGATGGACAGCTGTTCTCCATAACATGGGACAGTATTGTCATGGGTTGAGGAAATCTAGTCACTGCAGCAGGTAGAAAGACTTTTAAATAACATCTCTCTGCCAAAATCCTAGTGGTGTTGCCCATGTGCTAATGTTTTTCCCCTGCTCCCCACCCCTGCACGAGCACAGTACCTCTTGTGCGGTAGGAGACCACTGCCACAGTGAGGTGGACCTCTCCTGGGTACATCTCTGGGGAGGAACTGATGGAGTAGTAGCGTGGTTGGAGGAGAGGAAGCTGTGTGAGCAGCAGAGTGGAGGGCATCTGCACCGATGGGAACTCCTCCAGGACCTCCACAATGGTGGGGTTCTTGAACCACTTCCATTCCTCGTACTCTTGCAAGCCCTGCAGCCAGGGAGACAGGGAGGAGAGAGAGGCAACATCAACCTCTTCCAAGGCAGGTGTCTCAACTGATACCCCACCAGGTCCATAGCAAAGCTGGGGTGGGTGTCAGTGAAGGCAGATAGGGGGGCCCCAGGGCCTTGGAGAACCCGGGGCTTGAGGTCTTTACCTTGCTAAGAACCTGCAGACGTTTCTTCTCTTTGTCACTGGTGGCCAACAAAGCAAACTGCTGCAGCAACAGGGGTGTGGGAGGGGTGGTGATGTCCAAATAGTACTTAAAAGCCTGGAAGATGGTGCATGGTGGGACACGGTTCTCATCTGTCCAGTTACTGATGACACCTGCCAGGAGGAAATTCAGCACAAGCATGGGATCAGCTGAGCATAACAGTGAATGATGAAGAACTGGAAAGAAGAGTTAATGAGATCCTGTACAATGAGCACAAATACGAGTTTAATACTCCACCACCTTCAGCCTGGGACACTCTGAGTTAATACTGTTTTCCATATCCCATTACACTGTGCATGGCAGTAGGGTATCAGACTTATTCCTGAAAATGTGGGGACAGTCCATCAAGATTGCTTAACTCTTCTTTCCAGTCCTAGACATTGCTCTTTCTATGAAAATAGAAATTCCTCTAATTTTCTGAGGAATAAGGAAATACCTTCCCCAGGGCCCTGCTGGGAAACCCTTCCTCTACATCCCAAGTGCACCTGAGCAATGGCTCTGGGCAGAGGAAGGTTGAAGGAGGTGCTCCCAATCCAGGCAACCACAGCAGTGAGATGGGAAATTTCTCCTGGGGGCAGCCACCTCTCTGAGATGCTACAAGAACTACTTCAGGGGAGGGGTGAGGAGGAAAGAGGCCACCTGTATGCTGAGGGGATCCTGGTTACCTAGAGCCGTATTCCTCTCCTCCAGCAGCTCCACCTTCACCAGCTGGTTGGCTGGAGGGGCATCTTCAAGCCTGTCAATTAGGGCATTGACCAAGTCTTCATGGTTCCCTGGAAAGACTCCCAGGTGGTCCCCGGGCAGGTACTGCAGTCCCTGGTGTCCGTTGGTGTGGAGGCGCAGGAAAATTGTCAAGCGGCTACAGGAAGAGGAGAAAAAGTAGGATATGTTTTGGGGGAGTCCTTCAGGGAGTTACTGAGCTGTGGCCTCAGGAGCTGCTGGGTGTGCTGGGTGGGATTTCCAAACCATGGGGCCACCTGAGCACGACACCAAGGTCACAGCAGGCAGAAAGGACACTGCGGCACCACCTCCCCTCACTGCTGACTCACCCTCAGGAACTTTTTAAAAGGGAGAAAACAGTTTAACCTCTTGCTTCAGCAATTTTATCCTTTCTTTGCATGTACCCTGCCACTCCACCCATAGGCAGCAGGAGAATTGAGGTGGCAGCAGAGATTTCATAGGGTACAGAGGCAGGCAACACCCTTCACTGGCTTCACGTGGCTTCCAGTCTTACTCATGATTGCACAAAGATGGATTCCATGGGATATGAAGGGATGCTTGAGTGCACCATGAATGTGTTCAGCTCCCAGGACAGCTGCACCTCCTACCTGGACTTTGGGCTCTGCAGGTTCTGGCGTGTGATGAGTCGGGCTGCATAGACGTGTTTTTTGTGGATGCTGTACAGTCCTGTGGAGGAGAAGTGTCAGTGAAGGAATTCAGCAGAGCATGGCCAAGGCAGGTGGCTTCTGGCTTTCTCAGGGCTGTTGGTTGCTGCTGGGGGTTCAGCCCTCTGGACTGGAGCTCACCTTGGGCTCAGTCACCCTCCTGCCCCATGTCCTGCACAGTGTCAGCGAGATCAGAAACCCCATGGGGGAACCAAACATGTGTCCCTTCTGTCAGTGACTGAGGAGGACTCTGAAACAACCTGCATGAGATGCTGGGATGTGCTCTCACATGCACCTCTTGCTGCCAGTACCACCTGGCTGATAGCAAAGTGCCTGAATTTGGGAAGAGCTAAGCCAGTGCGGCAGATCATCAGCTGCAGGAGCCATGCTGAGGGGACAGGTGTCGGTGGGCTGGACCTGCCATTGCACTGCAATGCTCAGCGGAGCGGCATTGGACAGAGCAAGCTTGGAAAGCACTCAGGTTTTCAGTTCTTTGCTTCAAAAAATGGGGTCAGGAGGAGGGAGATCAGATCATATCCAAACATCTCTGTTATAGATACAGGCAGGGACCAGCCAGAGGGGCCTGAGACCATCACAAGCTGCTCCTTGGGCATGTGATGGAGGGGAAAGGCAAGGCTGAAATGCTGGAATTTAACACACAAGTAAGGAGGTTTGGCCCTTTGCCCTCACTATAGTCCAGTATGTCTTCTCCTCCACCTGCCCCACACCCAAAGCCCTCCAGGTGACCCCATCTTCATACCTTGTGTGAGCTCTGGGGCCTCAGCCACGTAGGTCAGCCGAAACTTGCTCCTCTTCCAGCTCCGGTCATTGCTGATGAGGGAGTTGTTTGCTTTCTCAATGTTGACGTCGTCCCCCACGCAGAACACGTCACACGCTGCCTGCAGCACGCACCAGGCTCTCAGGCATCTCCCTGCTGCCCCTGGGCTTTCTGACCAAGTTCCACAAACCCCCTTGTCCCAACCCACTTCAGCCAACACATGGAGAAGGAGCCCTCAGCAGTGTAGGGCTAGACCAGTGGCCATGAACATGTCTCGTGGTGCCCTCCTTCCCCAGGCATCTGGGATAATGCAGGAATTCAACACAGTGCTCACCCTTTGGCAATCAGCACAAACCAGAGCATCAGCTCCACCAAAATACGGAGAATCTCTTTATTGTGGGCCAGGGTGATGCCAGAGTGTGCTGGCATAGGGAAGGAGAAGCTGGATTTTGACACAGCTCTAACCCAGCAGCTGTGCTCTGTCCCTCTGTCCTTCTCCCCCCTGCTCCTCTCTGGAGCACCAGAGAATTGGGTTACCTTGAAGACCTTCTTGGCCCAGGTCCTGAAGGACTCCTCTTGGCCACAGAGCTCATCCCCTTCTCCCATGCGGAGGATCCGCTCTCCACCCAGCTCTTCCAGGAGCGTGTCCACTGCCCGGGCAAAGGCGCAGAAGTGGGGGTAAGCACGTGACCCCAGCCCAAACACGGAGAACCTGAGAGAGGTGGCACAGATGTGGTTCCTGAGCTGGGAGGGACACTGACATCTCCCTCTCCTGTACCACCATGGCCTACACCAGCATGGGGGAGCATGGAGGGATCTGCACATTGCCAAAATGCATCATGTTTGAGGTAAGCACTGTGGTGGGAGAAAGGGGCTCTGTGCAGCACCATCTGCTCTGTACCTCCTGCAGCAAGAACCACTGCCTCCCATCCTATCCCATTTACCTGACATTAGCTAGGGGCCCTGTGCTCTCAAAGTTGTCCCTCGAGTCAGGGCCATCACTTGAGGATTTCCGTGCATCCGAGTAAGAGGAGACGCTGTTGAAACGAACCTTGTAGCTCCTGTGAACAGCAACAGCATCGACACATCAGCAGTGGTGACACATCTGTGTGTGCTTCGCACTGTGCTGCGTGCTCAGAGGGGACTAGATCGTGAAGGAGACCAAACTGGAGCTGAGGGCTCAATATTCCGTGAGCAGGCACCATGATCAGCAAAGAAATGCACTCCCTCTTGGGGTTAATCCATAGCAGCCCATATGTTACATCCTCCAGCTGGACCTGGTCAGCTCCACAAGGTCCTCATGACCCAGGTGTTGGCCACCACATTGTCCCCAGTGGTGCAGAGCTGACAGGACCTTTGATTTTACCTGTCCTTCCCTAGCTGCACACAAGGTCAGGTGTATGTCTGAACAGATATTCTGAAGGTTTTTTCATTCATAGGAAGTGGAAAATAAAATAAATAAATAAATAAAAGAGTGGGTGAAGAGGGGGAAGGGGAGCACAGAAAAAAAATTCTGACAACAGCAGAAGTATTTCTGAATTGAACCATCTTCAAAAATTGCTCTACACAAGAGTTTCTAAATATACTGCCAGAGGAATGAAGCAGTAGTGTGTGGATGAGTCACGGCAGACCTCCTGCACCCAGCACGGCACACAGAGGAGACAACCCCTGAGTGAAACAACTGCTAGGGTCTTAGAGCCCTGAGTTCCACCTCTGCTCCAAAAACCTCCTCTTTTCTTCCATGCTTTTCTGCTTCACTCCACATGCTTCAGTCCACTTCTTTCTCTGGTGTTCCTGAGCCATGTCCTCACCCCAGGTTATATGTCAAAGGCAGGGCAGCGCAGCCCACTGGTTTAGATGGGCATGAAGCTGAAATTCCCTAGGTGGGTGCTGGGCCAAAGGTCAGGGCACCACCAGCTTTTGCTGAAATGAGAAGGTCCTTGTGGTGGGAGATGACTGCTGAAGGATGGGCTGGCTGCATTTGAACAGCAGGTCCTCAAACAGGAATGGCTTATTAATGCATTGGAAAACCCTTTGCTGTAAGACATAAGGAACCAAACACATAACCACAGCACAGCTGGATGGCTGTGGTCAGAGATCTACAGCCACAGTGCCCTGGCAGGAGACTTGGTTTAGAGAGGCCACCCCACCCTGGGGGATCTCAGTCACCCTCAGCATTCCTTGATGAACAAGGAGCTTGGAAGTCCATTGGGGTCAAGGGCAGGAGCTGTTTTCTCCACCCCTCTCCTACTCACGCCAGGCCAATGATGCCCTTCTTCCCCAGACAGTCTCCTTCAGGTCTCCTTTTCTCATTGCAAAACTTTCCTTTTCATGCTTAATGCCAGCAAGGTCCTGGACACGGCTTGGGGCAATCCCAAGCACAAATACCAGTTGCCCAGAGAAGCTGCATCTGTCCCATCCCTGGAAGCGTCCCAGGCGAGGTTGAACAGGGCTTGGAGCAACCTGGTCTAGTGGAAGGTGCCCCTGCCCATGGCTGGGGAGTGGAGTGGATAATCTTTAAGGTTCCTTCCAACCCAAACCATGCTATGATCTCTTCCTACCATCCAGAGCCATGACCTCTTGGCCTGTCCTACATAGGGAATAATTTATTCCCTCCACGTCTGCAGTCACCTTTTTCATATGTGAAGTCTGCCACCACACTACATTTCTGTCTCCTTTTCTCCAGATAAAATAGTTCTCACCCTTTTAATCTGTCCTCACAGGTTGCTGTTTCCAGCACTCTGACCACTTGTGCTGTCAGGTAACCAAGCCAAAGGCTGTCATGGCTCTTAGAAACTTCTGCCAGCAAGAACTGTGCTCAAGAGTTTTTGTCCTCCTCAAATCTGCCTGACTCACCATGGGCAGCACCTCCACACCCAACCCAATGTTGCATCCAAAATGGGGAAGACCCTTGGGATGAGAACCCAGTGCAAAATGCTCCTTCTCCATCCAGACACCTCCAGGGCAGCCCATTTTGTCAGCTGTCCCCGTTAAGGCACGAGGCCATTAGAAACCTAATAGGTTTTCAGCTTGTGAGCCCTGCAGGGATCCATCAGATGACTTGGCTGCACAGCAAGGAGACCACTTTGGGGCTGCAGTGTGGCCAGCAGTGGAGAACTACAAATTGGTCCCTGCCGTGTTTGTCACTGCTCTGCAGCCCCCACTGGCACTGCTCGAGCAGAAAGTCAGGGCAGTAGAATCGCCCTGTACCCCTGGCCAGGGATAATTCATCCTTAATTAAGGAGCCTTTTGCCAGTAGTGAGCATCGCTGTGTTAACTCAGGAGACACTCCAGAGCAGAGCAGTGTCACAGTTAAGTGAAATGTATTACTCTTCATAACTGAAATCAGAGGAGATCCCAAATGATTAACACTTTAGCTGCCCTCCCTTCCCAACCTCTGGGACATGCACCAAACTGCTCAAGGCTCATCTTCCAGCAATGATGGATTTTCTACAATCCCAGATTCTGTCTCCAAGGTACTGGTTCCAGACTCGCTGTTACAAACATCACAGGATTTATAACATTTCTTATTTTCCCTAGAAATATTTTCACACAATGCATGAAGTTAAATTTGGTTCTCAATCTCTCCCCACCTACATCCACATGGCTGGGAACTCCCTTCTACCTCCTGGACAGCCCCAGCTCTCAGATTTGATAGTTTTGGGGGATTTCCTGCTTTGATTTGGTCTTTTTCACAGTTGCCTGACTCTTAAAGCTGAAGAGAGAAGCTTTAAATATCAACCCAGGGAATTAGAAGCTGGAGTCTACAGACATGCCTGACTTGGTGTTTTTCTCCTCTCTGGAACCTCCACCAACTCCATCCCCTGGTTCTCCAGGCAGGTCTCATCTCTTGGATCTTTGCAAATGTGAAACCTGCATGAGGATTTCCCACTCTCTTCTGAGAGGATGAAGGCAGAGAAACAGGCTGTCCTGGCTGGGAGGTTGCCTGTGTGCTGGGGTTTGGGGGTAGGGGGGAGAAGGGAGGGGTTTGGAGTGCTCTTACTTCCTCTCCTCCAGGTTGGAATTGGGATTCTTCATCTCCATTAATGCACAGCCAAATTTCTACAGCAAAAAAATAGAAAAAGGCCATCAGTATTGCCAGTCTCTGCAGGAAATGGAACCGTGATGATAGCCTGGGCTGTGGCTCTGCTCCCTGCTTGCTGTTCACAGCAGCCTGCACTGCTGCTGTACAGGGCTGGATGAGGTCATAACCCCCAGTCAAAGGACTGTCACCTTCTGCATGACACTGACAGTTGTACAGGATGAATATAGCAACACATTAGTGACTTGTCTCACTGCAGAGAATAAGTAGATATCACTATTTCAGTGCAGGCTGGAGACAGGCAGGTGCAACACCAGGTATCACACAGCATCTGGACCTGTTTTGAGCCATTCCAGCTCAGGCTTAGCAAAAAGAGGATGTTCCTTCTCATGCCTCACTGCCTCTCCCCTTCCTGCATCTTTGCTGCATCCACCCATCCCTGCCCTCTGTCCTACCTCTCCATTCTCAGGTGGGTCTCCATTGCCAAAGGTGCTCGTGACCACCAGGACCATGGTTTCGTGCTCCAGATGCACAATATCATACTCATCCATGGACATCACCTGGGAGTGACAGAGAGCTTAGCAAGAGCTGGGGGATGATCTACCACCAGCCAGACTCCTGGGATGGCCTCCAGTCCCCCTGGGGGTGGGAGCAGCTTATCCCTGCCAACTCCATGCCAGTGCACTAGCAGAGAACTCTGCACAGGGAGGATGAGAAGAAGAACCTCGAGGGACATGGACAAACCCAAAGGGCTGTAGATATATATATGCTACTATGCCTGCAGGAGTATTACCTGGAAATTAGCTGGAAAAATTTCTGCACAGGCTTCAACCCAAACCCAGAAGGTCATATCCCTTGGCCGCTAGGAAGCTCCACATGTGTTGAGCCATGTATTTTCCAACAGCCATGTATTTGCTTGGATCACACATAATTGTGCAGGCTTAATCTTGTAGAACTCAGGAATTGGAACAATACCTTGGCATCAAAAGCGTGTTTGAAGATTTCACACAGAGTTTTTGCGTAGACCTGTGACTTCCCTGTTTCTGTGGCATACAGGATGGTTGCTTTGACCCTCTTGGCCATGGCCTGTCCCATCAGCTTGGCTGAGAACTTCACAGCCCTGGGAAGCAAGAATAAATCCTGGTAAGATAACTTGTTTCCTTGTCAGTGCCTCTCATCCAGACTATTCACACCTTTTTATCTATTATTAAATGAACAGCCTGCCTGAAATGAACAGTTGCAGCACTACTCTTTTTTTAGGTTGTCTATGTGCAAACAGGGAAGCTATGGAAGAGTGTGTTCACCTCAACTTGTCAGAGAGAGAGTGGATAGGGGAACTTGAACACAGAGATGAAACACCTGAATGGGTATGAGGAGGAAAATGCTGAACCAGGTGTGGGGGTGGTATTTCTGCAGGGTCCAAGAAGCAGTTGCTGAAAGCAGTGATGAGGTAACATCAAAGGAAAAGCTGGAGTCTAGAGCTACAGGAGGAACTAGAGCCCAAGCTACAGGAGGAACAGTAGCTTCTCCATCTCTTCATGCCCATAAATCCAACCTGGCTGCCTTTCTGCAGGAGATGTCCTAACCCAGCCTGGGCTCCACACACCACACACACGAAGCCCTGAGACACTGAGGGTGATGAAGCTGTCTATGAGTCCCTTTGATTTGCACTCCGCTGACACTATGAACTTTGCTGGGAGGAACATCCCACCTGAGGCCGAGAGGTTGCACTTTTATGTGTGTGTTCTCAGGGCTGTGTCTAGCCAGCTGCCTCCTGTGGCTGCAGTCGTGACTGGGTGTGTTTCCACCAGTTTTCCCCACCAGCTCAGCTCTGACAGCAGGAGAGAGGTCACCTGACAGCCTGAGAGGTCACCAGCCTCTCTACTCCTGGACAAGGTGATGCAGCACTAGCAATACTGGCTCCTTGTCTGTGGCATCAATGGGAGCACTGAGCCCTCTGTGGCAAGTTTGTAATTTTAGGGCCATTCATAATCACATCAAGTGCAGAATATCTTCATCTTTTCTAAATGGACCGTCATACCTTTAAACTGGAAAGGCAGGTATGGATTTAGCCTGGTGTGTAGCAATAGGGAAGTGGCAGTTTTGGGGGTGATAAGAGAGCACAAAGCAGCTCGGTGGCCTTTGCAAGAATAAGGGCTGCTTGATTCACTTTGACAGGGTGACCAGACCCTGCCCCAGGTTATCAAG